AATACAATCTGATGCGAAACCAAAAGGTCGCCCTAGGAGAGCATGTATGAACTGATGACATTTAAGAAGAAAAAAAACTTCTTAAAAAACAATGCTACCCCTCAAGGAATAGATCGCAAACCATTCTTTCACACGCTTGGTGAAAAAAAAAAAAAGATAATATAATCTGGGCTTTTCAAAGTCGGCTTTTAATTTTCGTAATCGGTTTTTTTTTTTTTTTTTTTTTGGTTTTTTTTTATTTTTTTTTTATTTCTTAAGTATGCTTTGTTGATTTCATCTAACGAGCCAGAAACTTGATTTTTGTAGAAAATAGTTCCAGAAATGCCATCTTCTTTATCAGCGATTCGGTTAACTGTCCATCTTGGAGCATAAGGCCCATTTAACCTAAGACCTCCCTCGAGATAGGGCCGTGGATTTTCAATTTCCTGTTGCATTCAACTCTTAAATTTTAATTCAAAAGAAATCATTCAGATGGACACAATGAACGGCATCCATTCAAAGGGGCCATTCCTTCATGACCCCCCCCCCTTTTCTCAACCTTGTGTGTGTGTGTGTGTGTGTGTGTGTGTGTGTGTGTGTGTGTGTGTGTGTGTGTGTGTGTGTGTGTGTGTGTGTGTGTGTGTGTGTGTGTGTCTCCCTGAAGCCGAAGATGTCAGAAAAATCTCCAGAGAATCAAGCAAGTGACGCTTCTTGTGCAATCTCTGATTTGGCGAAAGAATAAAGCTGTCTCTATGAAGTCTCGGAACTCAACTGCAGTCAAGTCTCGTTAACACAAACTAGTTTCAGCCGGACACTGGTTAACATGAAGACACTTTTGTGCACGAAAGGTTTGTATTATCAGTAGTACATCTATTAGTCCCCCGTTTAGCACAAATTTTATAATTTAAACTCCGGATGTTTCGGTTTCGGACTCATATCCTTAAAGACTTGGAGTTTATATCCTGAACCACTTGGAGTTTATATCCTGAACCACTTAGGATTCCTGACCTCAACCACTTGTAATGCATGTCCCGAACCACTTAGAATTCATGTCCCGAACCACTTAGAATTCATGTCCCGAACCACTTACAATTCATGTCCCGAACCACTTAGAATTCATGTCCCGAACCACTTAGAGATGATGGCTGAACGATAGTATACTGCATTCTCATGCCAGTAAACACAGTTCGAATAACATATAAGGTGATGGAAATGTCTTTGTCAGGAGCGAAAGAAAAAGAAAGTCAAAATTTTAACCTGCAAAGTTGGTACTGGCGGTGCTAGCCAGGAGAATTAAAACATCTTCATCCTCAAGTCCAAAGCAATTCTCTAAGTTATATTTCTTTGAAAAACTAAACCAATCCCTAGAATTATAACTTTTGAAACTAATACTAATTTACTAGAATTATAATTTGTAAAACCTAAACCAGTTCATTAGAATTATAATATTTGAAACCTATACTAATTCCTACAATTATAATTTCTGAAACCTAAACTAATTCTAGAATTACAATTTTTGAAACCTAAACTAATTTTAGAATTATAACTTTCGAAACATAAACTAAATCCCAGAATTATAATTTTTGAAACCTAAACCAATTTACTAGAATAACATTTTTTCGACTGCACACCTCTTTGCAACTGAACCAGCCATGAGGTCTCAGAGTGTCACTCTCAACCCCTCCCCCGCCCCCAATTTTCCCCTCTTTAATAATATAACAGTAAGCAGTATAGTTACTTGTCAAAATCATGCCAAAGAGGTCAGATGTACAATAGAGTCATAGACTGGAGCAGCATTGGAAACAACGTAACAGCCTGGTGTCGTTTGGGGCTTTCCAAGTAACAACCTAACAACTTGGTATCATTTGGAGCTTTCCAAGAAACAACGTAACAGCTTGGTGTCGTTGGGAGCTTTCCAAGTAACAACCTAACAACTTGGTATCATTTGGAGCTTTCCAAGAAACAACGTAACAGCTTGATGTCGTTGGGAGCTTTCCAAGAAACAACCTAACAACTTGGTATCATTTGAAGCTTTCCAAGAAACAACATAACAGCCTGGTGTCATTTAGAGCTTTCCAAGAAACAAAGTAACAGCCTGGTGTCATTTAGAGCTTTCCAAGAAACAAAGTAACAGCCTGGTGTCATTTAGAGCTTTCCAAGAAACAAAGTAACAGCCTGGTGTCATTTAGAGCTTTCCAAGAAACAAAGTAACAGCCTGGTGTCATTTAGAGCTTTCCAAGAAACAAAGTAACAGCCTGGTGTCATTTAGAGCTTTCCAAGAAACAAAGTAACAGCCTGGTGTCATTTAGAGCTTTCCAAGAAACAAAGTAACAGCCTGGTGTCATTTAGAGCTTTCCAAGAAACAAAGTAACAGCCTGGTGTCATTTAGAGCTTTCCAAGAAACAAAGTAACAGCCTGGTGTCATTTAGAGCTTTCCAAGAAACAAAGTAACAGCCTGGTGTCATTTAGAGCTTTCCAAGAAACAAAGTAACAGCCTGGTGTCATTTAGAGCTTTCCAAGAAACAAAGTAACAGCCTGGTGTCATTTAGAGCTTTCCAAGAAACAAAGTAACAGCCTGGTGTCATTTAGAGCTTTCCAAGAAACAAAATAACAGCCTGGTGTCGTTTGGAGCTTTCCAAGAAACAACGATGTTGCACTTTACATCTTTGCTTTAAAAAAAAAATTAATTGAAAAGTTTCACCAAGTTTCGATTTTCTCAAATCATGAACATCTCGCTTTTCATCAAAATTCTTCACTGGCCTTTTTCTTTTCTTTCCTTTCGACATTCTTTCACGTTTTTTTTTTTAAAGAAAGATTTCTGCTGAACTTCCTTTTCTGTGCGTCTGTGCTTAATTGTAGTCAGTCTTATTTTCCCAGCATTTCTGTTTCTTGTTTCTTCCTCCAAAATATACTTTTTTTTTGCTCTCTCTCTCTCTCTCTCTCTCTCTCTCTCTCTCTCTCTCTCTCTCTCTCTCTCTTTCTCTCTCTCTCTCTCAGATACATGATACGCTTTTTCATGTGCTCTCTCTCTCTCTCTCTCTCTCTCTCTCTCTCTCTCTCTCTCTCTCTCTCTCTCTCTCAGATATATGATACTCTTTTTCAGGTGCTTTCTCTCTCTCAGATACATGATACTCTTTTTCAGAAGCTCTCTCTCTCTCTCTCTCACTCTCTCTCAGATACATGATAGTCATTTTCAGGTGCCCTTTCTCTCTTTCTCTCTCTCTCTCTCTCATATACATGATACTCTTTTGCAGGTGCTTTCTCTCTCTCTCTCTCTCTCTCTCTCTCTCTCTCTCTCTCTGAGATACTGATACTCTTTTTCAGGTGCCCTCTCTCTCTCTCAGATACATGATACTCTTTTTCAGGTGCTCTCTCTCTCTCAGATACATGATACTCTTTTTTAGGTGCTCTCTCTCTCTCAGATACATGATACTCTGTTTTAGGTGCTCTCTCTCTCTCAGATACATGATACTCTTTTTCAGGTGCTCTCCCTCCCTCTCTCTCTCAGATACATGATAGTCTTTTTAGGTGCCCTCTCTCTCTCAGACACATGATACTCTTTTTCATGTGCTTTCTCTCTCTCTATCTCAGATAAATAATACTATTTTCAGGGGGTCTCTCTCTCCCTCTCTCTCAGATACATGATACTCTTTTTCAGGTGCTTTCTCTCTCTCTCTCTCTCTCTCTCTCTCTCTCTCTCTCTCTCTCTCTCTCTCTCAGATACATGATACTCTTTTTAGGTGCCATCTTTCTCTCTCTCAGATACATGATACTCTTTTTCAAGTGCTCCCTCTCTCTCTATCTCAGATACATGATACTCTTTTTCAGGTGCTCCATCTCTCTCTCATTTTCCTATTCTTTCACTCTTGTTCTATCTCTTTTTTTTCTCTCTCTCCCTCTCCATCTTCCTTTCCCGTTCTCTCTCACTCATACAGATACATACATTGTCTCTCACTCTAACTCTCTTTCTGTCATTTTGTCACTCTCCCGCTTTATTTTTTTACCCTTTTTCCATGTCACTCTCTCTCTCTCTCTCCTTGTCTCACTTTCCTTCTTTCTCTCTCACTTTCTGTGTCATTCTCTCTTTCTCTCTCTCTCCCTATCTCTTTCTCTCTGTCTCTTTCTCTCTCTCTTTCTCTCTCTCTCTCTCTCTCTCTCTCTCTTGCTATTCACAATATGCATATTATTATTTGAATATAACATGCTTTATTGATAAAATACAACTGCTGTATGAAAGACGGGTTTGGAAGGGCCGATTGTAAGACGGGCCTGCGTGCCCAACTTGTGTGACTGTTTGAAAATAAAGTTCGTTTGTTCGTTCGTTCTTTCTCTCTGTTTCTCTCTGTATTTTTATTTTTCTCTCTCACTCACACACACACACACACACACACACACACACACACACACACACTCACTTTGTCATTCTTGTCCCGATTACTCACATCTTTCAATCAGTGGTGTCTTCCCCGTGCATGGCAAGATCCCTAAGCCTCCTTGAGCACGTTTCCAGACTTCCCCCTCCCCCACTCCCCATCCCCAGGTGGGAGTCCATGGCTTTAAATATTTGTGTCGATGCAAACCCCGGTCTTGTCTACTGCTCTGTGATGTGATACAGGAAGGTCAAAGCGGCATAACTACCACAAAGGCAATTGACTGGATAGTTTAACCAAATTACTTCCCTTCCTAGCAGACTTCAGTAAAATGTATCTCTAAGACAGAGCTGTGTGACTAAGTTTAGTAAGGAGCCAACATGGGGACTGACAGAGGACACAGTCCCTAGCCTCAGCGTAAACACATCTTTTATACAGTACAACTGGTAATGATTCGCGGACCACCTGCTTGTCTTCTGCTGGCTGCATTCCACAGTAAACTGGCAAGCTCCCACACCCACCCCACCCACCCATCCCTACCCTACTGCCACTATGAAGCCCTGGAGCTCATACGCTGAATAATTAAAAAAAAAAACTTTGCATGTTTAAATGTTCTTTAATCTATGCTTATTGTTGAAGAAAATGGTTTCATCATTGCTTGCTCAAGAGGCCGTCGATGAGGTTTTTCCACTGGGATACTGTCCAACTGGAGTCAGCGTCTGTGAAGACATCGTTGACGGTGATTGAAGGCACCCCGTAGACTCCTCGGGTGACGCCGTACTTCCACCCTAGTCTGGTTAGCGAGTCTACGTTGGTATCATACACCTGTGACACAAACATATGGAAAGTGCACAGTTAGCGAGTCTACGTTAGTATCATTTACCTGTGACACAAACATATGTAAAGTGCACAGTTAGCGAGTCTACGTTAGCATCATTTACCTGTGACACAAACATATGCAAAGTGCACAGTTAGCGAGTCTACGTTAGTATCATTTACCTGTGACACAAACATATGCAAAGTGCACAGTTAGCGAGTCTACGTTAGCATCATTTACCTGTGACACAAACATATGCAAAGTACACTGTTAGCGAGTCTATGTTAGTATCATTTACCTGTGACACAAACATATGCAAAGTGCACAGCTAAAACTAGGCTGTCACATTTTTTTTTCAAAGACAAATAATCACAGATAAATCATTACGATTTGAGGAGAATGGCACTGCAAGTAGTTACTATGGGATTTGGCCGACGCTCAACACACAATTTAAAGGCAAGACAGATATACATAGAGAGTTACTGGTGCCAGTGGAATTGGAACTCTTTGCTTCCTGCTGAAGATGGGGACTGAGTGGTTATGGGAGTGTGCCCAGTGCTGTGATGTCGATTCTTAATTCAACATTTACATTCTTTGAGACAAAAAAAGGAACATTGAGACTGTATAAACATTTTTTTTGGGGGGGGGGTGGAGGGGGGGGGGGGGGGTTGGATTTTCCCGACTACGGTGTTGTTGCGTCTACCGGATACATTGTATCAATAACATGTTATTTAATCATGGCATAACATTTGTTGTCACACAGGAAACATTCTACAAAGCTACCAAAAAAAAAAACATGTTATTACCCCTGACATAAAACCTAGTGTTGAGACGCCAGGTATAAATATAAACACATTACTTACCCCTGACATAAAACCTAGTGTTGAGACGCCAGGTATAAATATAAACACATTACTTACCCCTGACATAAAACCTAGTGTTGAGACGCCAGGTATAAATATAAACACATTACTTACCCCTGACATAAAACCTAGTGTTGAGACGCCAGGTATAAATATAAACACATTACTTACCCCTGACATAAAACCTAGTGTTGAGACGCCAGGTATAAATATAAACACATTACTTACTCCGGACATAAAACCTAGTGTTGAGACGCCAGGTATAAATATAAACACATTACTTACCCCTGACATAAAACCTAGTGTTGAGACGCCAGGTATAAATATAAACACATTACTTACCCCAGACATAAAACCTAGTGTTGAGACGCCAGGTATAAATATAAACACATTACTTACCCCTGACATAAAACCTAGTGTTGAGACGCCAGGTATAAATATAAACACATTACTTACCCCGGACATAAAACCTAGTGTTGAGACGCCAGGTATAAATATAAACACATTACTTACTCCGGTCTGTTGTTGAGATGCCGGATACACTGTTCAATAACATGTTACTTCTTTTTATTATTTTACTGCCTTCTATCCAACGATGGAGCATGGGGCCTCAACCACCATCCTTCTCTGTTGTATGTAGCTCACCCGATGCCTTCTCCAGCTTTTTAACGTCATTCTTTAACTCCATTGTGTGTGTGTGTGTGTGTGTGTGTGTATGTGTGTGTGTTTTGTCTGCCTCAATCTCTATGCCCTTGTGGGTTCCGATGCGAAGGCATTCTAGTTGTACTGTTCACGGAATCTCTCAACGTGTGTCCTATCCGACGCCGGCGTCTTTTCTTTGCCTCTTGGTCCACTGGGGCTTGTTTAGTTCTCTCCCAAAGCTCTACATTAGTTGCTCTATCATACCATTTAATTCCCTCTATTCTGAGCAAGCACCAGTTAATGGATGTTCGTAGTTTATTAGTAATTGCCTTAGTTGTTCTGCGTGGTTCCCCGTCCAGACAGTAGTATTGATTTGACATTAGTATTAGACACTTTGAGTTCAGTATTATTAAAATCATCATCATTAAGCGCCACGGCGGACTGACCCGGGGGGGGGGGGGGGGCGGGGCGGTAACAACACGACATTGGACATAAATGATTCCTGGCGAGAGACACAATTTCTTTCGGGAAGACCATGATGAGAGCGACGTTCATCACGATGATGAGTTTAGTATTGGTTTAAATTTTGTTTTCTTTGTATCTCTATAAATTTCCTAGTGCCGTGAAAGCCTCTCATGCCTTTTATATTCGTGTTTTCATATCTTTGTCAGTTCCCCCATCCTATCTGCATATTGTTGTACTCTTTTTCTTCTTCGTTCCCTGGCTGTGAATTCCGGCGGAAGGTCCCGGTAGATCGTCCATGTGGACTTTTGGCTTTTACCCGGACCTGAGTTTTGCGTGTACAACCATTTTACTGGCTTTTGCCGTTCGCTGCCTCACGGGCAGATGTACTCCGACTTCGAGGGAAATTGTTTTACTCAACATCTTGGAGTGGGATACCATTAAGAGAAACTAGGCTGCTATTTGCCTATCATTGTCCTTTCCCTTGTGGATTTTTAGATCTAGATGTTGTGAACATGTTACTTTCCCTGATATAAAACCTCGTTTTGAGATGCCAGTTACTTTATACAACGAACGCGTTACTTGCACCTTGTAGGTAGGTAGTTATACCACACCCGGACATCTCACAAGCGATAAACACCCGGTGACACAACGTGCCACTATGCGGATAAGGATCACCCGTTGAGAGGTCCCAGAAACCCCTTTCAGCCATTAGGCAATATTTATGGCCCAGTTATATTCGGGGGCCCTGGGAAAAGCCAGGGTGGGGCTTCAAACAGCAAACAAATTGCATCCAACATGGGGACGGTTGGAGTTTGATTACTTGCACCTGAAATAAAACCTAGTGTCGACAGTCAGGTACATAGCACAGATAGCGCGTTACACATCTTAGATGTGAAGTCTGTTGCTGAGAAAAATTTATGTTTTGTTTCAAATTTAACACGTTACTTACCCCTAACACAAAACCTAGAGTCGAAATGACAATTATATTGTACAATTAGCACGTTATTTCCCTCAATATAAAAGCTATTTTTGATATGTCAGTTACATTGTACAAATAACAAATTACTTACCCCGGATATAAAGTCTGCAGTAGAGATACCAGAAACATTTTGTGCCAAACTTGCCAGAAAATTGACGATCTCAGTGTCTGATTGGTCTTTAGTTGCTGTCGTGGTCAGAGAGGCGATATTGTCGTATGCTGCAGTAATCCAGTCGAACACAGTTGCAGACTTCGGGGATTTGAAATCATTCAAGACATTGGCAGCCTTAGAAATGGTGTGGCTGTGCCTATGGTAGGGAACTGAAAAGGCGTGCACTTTGAATTGGACTTCGCTTGATGGAAAATCGTTGGCGACTTGCAGAAGGGTCGTGTAAGCTGCCTTGGAGTACGGGCACGTGAAATCGATGTAGGCCGCAATCTTTACCAGGGCATCTGGTTGGCCAGTGCCGTAAACATAGCCTAGCTCTTTAGAGGGGATGGTCAGCTGGCACTGGGTGAGACTTAAGGTGGTCAGCACCCCAAAGACAAGAGTTAGTAGTGATCTCATGTTGTAGTTTTAGGTTGGCTTTTGGCAGTACTAGGCTCTGCTGACGTAAAGAATATGTTAGTTGCATACTTTTTGCGAAAGGTCAAACACTAGCGCCTGTATTTCTTGGTTGTTTGTGTTTTTACAATGCAGTTTTACGATCAATAGTTTGCCATTGAAGGTTTATTTCTATCTGTCAAAAAGTACCGTTAAGAGGAAGGGGTGTCTCCATGGCGAAGTGGTCAAACCGTTTGCCTCGCGCTCTGAAGGTCGTGGGTTCGTTTCACGGCGTCGCCATTTAATTCACGAGTGCGTTTTTGCGAAGATCCCTAGAGGTCGTCGCCGGAGCAACGGTGGTCTTATTTTGTGCGGCACTCTCGACAGGCAGCTTGCTGTCTTGCGGATAGAAACTGTTCCATATCGGATAAAACTTGTTGCAATGAAGTCGATCCTCTCAAATTTACCTTTTACCAAGTTAAGAGGTTTTGTAAAATCAAATGTCCGTACTGAATACAGCAAGTAACCCCGTATTAAAATCGACAAAGAAAAGATCAAAAAATGTCACAGCTTTTGAATATTGAGGCTCAACATTGACCAACATTGGCAAATACACACATGACGATAGAACAAGTCTTCCGGGAAGACTAAGCCGGTCACCAAATGCCCGCAGAAGTCGGATGTGTTGGCCGAAAGGCACAGATATCACTGCCATGCTGTAAACGGACACAACGCAGTTTCATCTTTGAATGAACGCAGAAGAAGAAAAAGACTCGCTTAGTAAAAGTTTTGAGATCGTGCTTCTTTCCTATGGCAACTTATAGATGTGAATCGTGGATTCTTACTCAGTCCTTGAAAAACAAAAATAGTTTTCTGAACTCAAATGCTACATAAATTGTTTTACCATATACCAAGAAGAACAACAGCACCCACAACCTACATGATTTGAACATCGAACAGAACTGGCTCATAAACAGCATTCTGTATCAAAAGCTGGGATGTTTTGATTATTTGAACAAAGAAGAAGACACAAACAATAGACTGCACAATTTATTGCCTGGCATATTTCGTTTCGCTGTATCTTATAAGGTGCATACTACATTAACAATTACATAAATGAAGCAGATGAGTGAGGATCCTTTATAACTGAAGCACAAATTCAACAACGATCATAGATGACTACCTGTTTTACCAGGGCAGCTGTAAAGACAGAACTAACTCTTTCTGTATACAGTGTTGCGGGCGCAGGTGACGAATCGCGGAAGCTTCAAGAAATCTTAGCGTTCTGTCATTGGTTGACGTATGAATAGGGATGGTAGTGAAATTTTATTTTTTGGGTTTTTACTTACAAAATTATAACAGCTAGATAAAGATTAAAATTACAAATCCAATGGTACCTCATTTAAGCCTGTAAGTCGATTCTAAACGGAGATATTAACATTTTAGTGACGGATACCAATACAGAAAAATTGTAGTGGAAATCGATAAAACATGGCTTACGGCTGCGACCCAGTAAGATGAAATGACTCAATGTTTGATTTTACGGCCATATCTTTTTTGTTTCTGAACGAATCCCTTAGCAACCAAATATTGCTGGAAGCGGGACAGTTAGGCCTAACTGTCTATGCATGTTTTAAAAACATATAATACATTATGCACCTAATTAACATATGAAAATGGCCGCCAGCTCACTATTTTCAAGCAAAACATTATACCTGTAAGTTTATCCGCCAGCGAGCCTGGCGACATGCATATCAAATTGTGCGACCCGACAAGGTGAACACAAAGATCATAAAAATATACCAAGGTCAGTCGACGTGACCTAATTAACATATGAAAATGGCCATCAATTGACTTTCTTTCAGCAAAAACCGTATACATTTATAGTTGTCTGCCAATGAGTTTTGTACTGGAACCAACAGGGACATAAAAATATACAAAGACCATAAAAACACATGCAGAAGGGAGCTAGAAAGGGAAGTTAAAAAGATAGGGAAGAGACTAAGAGCAAATGTAATAGCAATGACTATAATGACAGCGTGAGTTGATTGAGGACTAATGCCCCATTAGGGCATAGAAGGCCGAAGAAAAAAGGAAAAGTTTGGCAATATGTTTTTTGACAAAATTGACATAGAAAGCGCATAAATGTGTATGTCTTTACAACACGAAGCACCTAAAAGTATCAACTAGTAATGTTGCCACAGTGAGAAATGAATGATAACGTGCATACATGAGGGATAACAAAAAATAGCACTAATGTTCTTACATTTAAAAAAGGGGGATTGAGATAGATACATATGACAGACAGAGACATCATGGATGATTGATATACCGTGGAATTTTGATGTGATTATACATTCACCACAGCTTCACACACGCTGCTGCTATATCTATAAAGCCACTTTGGAAACATCCATCTAACAGGTGGAATAATACAAGGATCATTGTTATACAGTGTTGTTTTCATATGCATATCACTGCTTCTCTCTTGTTGTGTAGGAGTACATAAGACAACAGCCTAGGCATACACTAATAACAGAGACAGCATGGATGATTGATATACAGTGGGATTTCATGTGATTATATATTCGCCACAGCTTCTCCGGAAAACAACTGCTTTTGTGTAATAAAAAAAATAAAAAAATTATTGTAGTATCCTTGTTTGTCCAGCATCCAAGAGCAAAACATTTACACTGGTATGCATCATGACCAGTCGACACACAGAGGACTGTATTTAGTGAATAGAAAATCACACAGAGACAGCTTAAAATTATATGGGAACTGAGCAAATTGAATGCATGGGACAGTAGAGCCAGGAAATACCACAGGAGAGGACATACAGTGGGGATAGCAACAAGTCGAAAGACAGAGACAGGTAAAAAATGAAAAGAGTCAGTGACCCAAGGTTTCATATTTTACTCTCCACAGATTGCTTGGCTGTATCTTCCTCTTGATCTTTTCATTCAGTCTTTTCAAGGAAAACTGTGATCGTTGCTTTTCTCTTACCTGTATTTTTAGTTTTCGTATTTCCTGTTGTAAACGTTTCTTTTCACATTGCTTATTCATAACTGTCCTTTGCTTTATGACACAGTTTTCACAATCTCTTTTAAGCTTCTTTGGTGATGGCAATCTGCATGATGGTGAAAAATGAGGTACATTTTCTAATGAAGACAACGGTGTGTGCTGATCTCTGTTGGGTATTTGGTTCTAATAATGGCTGTATTCCTGGCATACATGATTTAGAGTGCTGTATTGGTAAAGTATGTCCAGGTTGGGGATCAGGCATGACAGGGAGGCTAATAAATGATATTTACGAAATTACTTACCGTTATTCACTGCGTGCTGCCAAAAAAATCGATTTATTTTATACGCGTCAAAACCATCTCAGGTCAAAGCCTGGCATCTCTCCAATAACTTCTAATAACTTTTCCGATTTTATCTTTCACGTAAAGAGCACAGAAAAATAATTTCTCAATAACAGACAATTGGTTTTCAAATTTTCGGGTCGCAATCGCGTCTATAGTTACCGACGAAAATGTAAAGCAAAATAAACGAAACAAAACGATCCATTGCTATACCTACATGAAGGATTTGAAATAGGTCGTCCTTAGTTACCACGTGTCCAGATTTTAGAAGATGGCGTGCTATTGCGGAGGGCTGATTTTTTCGGCCAGTATTCTCATTTTGCTGATTATGTTAAACGTCATGGTGGTCTGGATAGAACGGTGGTGGAGGGGACAGTTTTTGGAAAACGAGACAGAGGCAGACATCCGCGAATGCGGATACAAAACGTTGAACATGCATTAGCTATGACAGCAGACCAGACTAGAGAACTAGCTAGAGAAAGGAGAACTTTCAGATTAACCGTGACGCAAACGATATTCCTGCTGACTGATGATATGGATGAGTTTACTATTGCTTCCTGAACAATATCACTCTCACATCGTTATCAAAATCAACACAAATCTGTCTGCAACTTCCTGCTGCAGTTGAAATGTGTACCCTGTTATGCTGATGTTGTGAAACACACCCCCGAGACAACGGGCTCATTTAAAGGTTAATTTAAGGCCCATGTTTTCAAGCTTTGCGGAAAACCCATAAACTTTTATTAGGGTACCTGGTATGTGTTAATCAAAGGCCGTCATGAATGCTTCCATCTTTCAAAAATAAGGGTTTATCGTAACTCGGACATGCAATGATAAACCGAGATTTTTTTTTTTTTAAAGCGAATATGAATGGTTAAAAAAAAAAAAAAAACAGTTTAAATAATGTTGAATGTTGAATAAAGAATCGACATCACAGTACTCGGGACACCCCCCCCCCCCCCCAAAAAAAAAAAAAACCAGACAGACAGACAGACAGACAGACAGACAGACAGACAGACAGACAGACAGACAGACAGACAGACAGACAGACAGACAGACAGACAGACAGACAGACAGACAGACAGACAGACAGACAGACAGACAGACAGACAGACAGACAGACAGACAGACAGATAGATTACTTTTCCCTGCTGAGGTTACAGACTGGCACTTGCCAATCTTGTCTCGTCCATTTATAGTCTCTCTAAATAGAAGATCGTGTTCCAAAACCGATAACCTTTAGAAACATTGGTTAGAAACGAATGTAGCTGATAAGACAAAAGTTTGATCTATTGAGGTGACATCATGACCAACAGTAACGCACAGGTGAAGGAACCTGGAGGCATTAGACCCTTGAGCCCCTCCCCCCCCCCTTTCCTTTCACCCCCCCCCCCAACCTCCTCCTTCCACAGCGCCCATTTGCATGACTTGACACTGTGAGCCGCCTATTTTATTTATGATTTTTTTTTTACGTCGAACAGCGTGGTGTTGTGAACTGAAGATTTAGAAAATGACACAGAACTGACGGAGCCTTATGTGATTTAAATTAATCGCCTGTGCAACTACTAATGTTTTTGTAACTGGAACTTCAGTCGATGATGAACTACATTTCTAATGTCGGGCTGTTCGTGTTACCATGTCTGATGACTGCCTTGTGCT